ATCGGCTGCTGCATTTAGACAAGTAAAGAGTTTGCTACTTGATTGAGTTTCTTCTTTGCAGTGTTGCACATGGATTGGTTATTATATACTACTAATCCAATACGACTGAATCATTTTTGTGGTTCCGTAGCAACGCACGGGCATTGTGGCAGTAGTTATTGTAATACTGTGTCTGCCCAATAAACATGCTTTGGAAATTGGTTAAAGTTAATTGAATAGCGTATATTTGATGAAAAGGAGTTTGTATTCTGTTGCCATCATTCTTTTATTCACTTTTTAAAATACCACACTGGGATCTTCTCCCCCTACCTGTAAGTAAAGGTAGGTATATTGTCCAGTTTGTATTTGCGCTTCTACCCCTTCATTACTCATTTCATGTCTTCAGTCTTTCATTGCCTATGGTTTGTTGTCTGCTTCATTTTTGTTTTAATAGTTTGAATATATTTTAGTGAAAAAGAAATAGGCTTGTGTCATGAATCTCTAATGCTTTAATTTGTTCCGAATCTCATGTTTATGCCTTTCTCCAGGCAAGGTACTGCTGGAGGAAAGCAACATCCTGAAAGACGAACTAGAGAGTCAAAAGCAGTCCCTGCACCTGATGCAAATGCAGAACTAGTGTCATCTTTGCAGGTATAGCCACCACTTGTTGACATCTTCACTGAATATATAATTCTGTTCGTCTTTAGCTTGTTGAGGTATATTTACTCTTATTACTGTTGTTTGAAATTATGTTTTCCACTCATAATCATCAACAATGCAAATATGTGATCCTTCCCAGTATATATAAGCTACCCTCCTTTCTCACAAGCATGTTATATAAAGTCTTAAATGCAACAACATGCATGCTCAGTGCATCTTCTTCTAGATTTTTACCGTCTCCTTAATTTTTCTATTTTGAAATGCCTAAATTCATGTTGTCTTCATTTTCAGAAAAGGCAAGCCCAAGCCAATACCAAGAGCAGGAGTGAGATGTTCAATCCTTGCAAGGAAGACTCTGCATCTGGATTTCCAATTGAACCACCCAGTTCAACTCACATCATTGAATCGTCGGAGGACTCCAAACGCGTCTACCCAACGAGAACCTTCCATTCTGGGCCTTTAGTTAACCCGTCAAAGACTGGAACGAGCAAACATGGCGAACATCATGTACGTGCCGTTGCGGATCCCCGGAATTTCCCTGTGGTCGTATCAGCAAAATCAGATGCGCGTCCGGATGATAGCAATGGGATCGGGTTTACTCAAGCTGAAGCATTTGCTCATGGACGGAGGCTGTCTGAATCTATCAACGGGCACTTCAGTGGTAGCGGGAAGTACGACCAAGTATTCCAGCAGAAAGAGGACAAGAGCGGCGGCAGGGTGGATGGAGGAGCTATTGTAAGTAACCCTAAACTTGTGCCCAACGTCGAAAAGTTTTCTTATGCCTTTTCATCCATGGTCATTGCATGGTTCCTTCAGATATCATTTGTTGCGATTCCATTGCCAAAGCTGAAACGTAGTTTCAGTAAATCCAATATTACCACTTGCTAGGGTATAATTTGTGCATAATCCAGCAAGTTGTTTTGAAGTTTACAGGCCATGATCTAATGCATAGTAAATACATGAGTAGGGTGACATTTTAGGAGGGCACTGGATCCATTCATGTGTGACAAATGTCAGGCAACAAAGGTACTTGAATGATTACAGTTCCAGCAAGAACGAAAACTGAACTCTCTGTGGCGTTTGATGGCAGGGCTACGGATCCAAAGGCAACAAGATCCACCACTCGGGGCCTCTGACCTCCTGCCCCTCGGGCAACGTCGACGAGATGCTCAAGGAGAACGACCGGCAAATCCAGGAGGTTTTCCGGCGAACCCGGGTGGAGAAGTCCCGGGTGAGGAGGGCCCATGGGCACGGGCACGCCGGAGAGGCCGGGCTACGGGACTTCGGCGCCGTCCCGGTCTTCCCTTCCAGCCGCTCCAGCTACCGAGCCGCGCCCCAGTGATAGCAAGCCGGGGACCTGTAGGCAGGCCGTGTTTGTAAGTTCATAATATAGCGTAGTGGCAAAATCTCTTCCGGAGAGAGGTTTTATTATTGCTTCCTCTTCCCCTTTGATTCCCGGGGAACACACAAGCAGATTCTGTACAGGAAAGACTCGGCCGTGTAATATTAGCCTGTTGGAATTGGTGCACCACGGTGGTGTGAGGGGGGGGAGGGTGATTTGGTTCACTGGGAAGGAGGTGATTTGAGTGTTGTGGAAAATCCTTGTCATCTGGCAGGTCTCCATGTTTCAGTTTCAGGTTTGGTCTTTTAGTACCTGTTTTTTTTTATAAAAAAGGGTGAAAGACTTGTCATTGTCACTTGTGAACGTGATCTTTTTTAAAGAAGAGAACTGCCTAGTAAATTTACGAAAAAACTGAAATAAACACATCACGGAACGTTGCAGCGTGTAGGGCACGGGCCGACCTGGCGATCGACATAGACTCCACACGCACGCACGCACGGTAGAGAAGAGAGCATCGGTCGTAGTCATCGCCCATCACACTTAATAATCCATTGACCCTGACCTCACCGTAGACAACCGCCAACGAGATGGACGCCACGAGCCGAAGACGGCGAGTGGCATCGGTTTGGTTTACCTGGAAAGCGACGGTTTTCTTTGGGTGAGTGCGGCAGTTTTCTCGCCAAACACCACCGCTACGTACACTGACTGAAACACCACCGCTTCTGGCCCTGCGCACGGTCGCACGGCCCGTGATCAACTTTTATTAACCCACCTGCCGAGCCCCACCCTCGTCGCGTCCTATATGAACACGAGTGGCAACTCTACTCGCCGGAACCAACCGGAAAGTGTAACCCGAAGAGAGAAGTTTGCCACCCTGCTGAGTTGAACGTTCCTGTCGCCGTCTTGCCGTGCACGGGACGGGCGGCCGGCCTCAGCGGCGAATTCTTCCTCCCCTTGCGACAGCAACGTCCAGCGATCGGTCGATCGATCGACCAGCCACACCTCCGTGCCAAAGCAAGCACGTACGAGAACAAATCCTCAGATAATGTTTTCTTCTATTGGGTCCAGCCGGCACTGCTTTACGTCGCGTCAATGCTGAGTACTGTATGTTATGGTATTTCTGAAAATTTTAAAAAAATGAGCATGTTATTAATAAATTGAGCAGACCCTGGAACGCCAGCTCTGAATATCTTCTTATTGTTTGGTCCAAAGTACTGGGTCGCGCTATTTGTCACCCTGGTTGAGAAATAGTTATTCTTCACCCCCCTCTATTTTACCATGAATGCACCGTAATTTTACGTTCCGTAAGTTTTATCTTATTTTCGACGTAAAAAGAGACCGTAAGAAAATATATAATCATTGTAAAAAATATTTTATGTTATGTAAAATTATAAACGTAAAATCATAGTCTAAAATACACATAAACTGCAAATTTTCTTGTTTTATGACCTATATTTTTATTTTTTTATATCAAATTTTACGTAGTGAATCGATAGGAATGTAACTATTTGAATTCCAAATGTAATTTAATTATAAAATAATCATAAGATTACCTCAGGTGAAGAATAACTTAATCTGCACCCTGGGTGATGAATAGTAACTATATATATATATATATATATATATATATATATATATATATATATATATCCAAATTCCAGCGATCTGCTGCCCCTTGGTTGCATGCATAAAATGTTTGATCTGAGAATCGGATGAAAAATATCGTAGACAATTGTTAAGATATATTTTGTAAGGACATAGCAGGTCTGTCCGTTGCAAGAAGTACGATTACTTTCATGGTATTTAGCAAGGACGATGGAAGATTGGGCCAGCCATCTAGAAATGTTTGTTGGCATGAACCTATGGCAATAAAGCCC